TATTAATGATAATTCCATATTGGTGTGGGATTGTTTTAGACTTACTCCTTCAAACTATGAATTTTTTATATTGCTATGTGTTAATAAGGAAGCTGCTTATAACCAATGGTTTAACAGAGTAAAACCAGGCTGAAAGAGATATAAAAAGTAGGTCGAATTTGGAAGAAACCATGTAGCCAACACCGGAAACAGATGCCTCTACTGGAGTCCACCAAATTTGCCAGTAGGCCACGACATCATGGAGATGCACAGATTAGTGGAGATGCGTGATTTTAGGATATAACCTTAAATTTGTTTCAGTAGACTAAAGTCCATAACAATGCAAAGTATTATCTCTATATCTTATCATCCACATTTTTTAAACAACTATGATCTGTTCAAAGGTTTATTTGTGAATGAATCCATCTTTATTGTATATGTGTTATATGTGTAACTATTTTCTGACAGGAGAGATTTTAATCTTAATGCTCATCAGAAATGGTAAAGATTATCCCTGTGACTTTCCCTTTTGTACCTGCTCCCCTAATTCCAACAAGACAGAGGTATATTCATACCTCTCTAAGCATTGATAATTGCTCCAGCTCTTGGGATACAGTGGGCCTATGTCACTAGAAATCAATTTGTAACATGCTGCTCACAAACACCACTTATGAGCTCTGTAAGAGGACCGTCCAAATAATCCAGAGCCCTTATTTCTTCCAGTATGGACCAGAAATCCATCATTTAAGAAAGTCACATTTCTACTCACTGGAAACAAATGAAGACTTTATGAAAAAATGTGACTACCAATAAGCTGAAATTGACTCCCCTTTATATGGGCTTAGAATTGCCTTTTAAAGCAATATTTGGCTTTATGTTGCTGTACACTGCCATAGGTTGGTCACTATGTTATAAACAGAGACTCTGCTATGGTTTCCCATGCACACAGACCAAAGTAATCACATAGAAACTGTAATCCTTACTACACAGTTTGGGCAAGAGATCGGGTGTATTTATAGCTAGATCTTACATCTTAAATTAACCCATTTCTGTTAACCTGTGTATATCCCCAAGACTGGCTTACTGACATTTCTTCTTCAGTACCAACCTTGCTTTTCTTTGAATCTGCTTACACTTTCTCTATATCTCTCCTTGATTTCTTGCCTGGATATAATCTGCCCTGCCTTAAGCCAAAGCAGGTTGCTTATTAACCAATGGTAAGAAAACATTTCACTGCATATAGAGAGGAATCCAACATAAGGACATGAGTCAGCATCTCTGAAGGAGATTGCAAAGTTTACCACAGGATTTATTAATATTGATAGAATTTATATTGCACTACTAATTGGTTCATATTTCAACCACAACTTGGATGCACACATTCCTTCAATCAGGTACAATGAGAGCTAATACAGTTGTCAGCAGAGCATGTACCTACCAATCAGGCTTTGACTATATCTCAGTTCTCAGTTGCTCATGATTATAATCAAAACGTGAATGTTCCTTGTTCCAGGTAAGGAAGACTGTTTCTGATATCTGTGTGATACAAAGCTTTTGGATATTAGAAAAGTCAGGTATTTAAAGTTAATAATCATTAGAGGGTTTAAACAATGTAAACATATGCCATGTTTAATATAGATGTTACATATCCTGTTCCTTTCTCATTACTTACAGGGTGGATCATGCCTCTAGGTTCCTCTTATTAATAAGCTTAAAATCTCTACAGATCAAAAATTGTGGCTTTTTCATACAACATGTGACTGCTGCCATTTTCATTAAGGTCAGATAACCTTACAGTCATCTTAACTGAGAGACAGTTCCTGTGACCAATTCCCACCATCTTTACTGAAGTATATCCTGCCTGGTCTCCCTATTTACTTTTGTTTTTTCTCTAAATTCTTCTTGCTGACTCTATTGCATGTGTGCTTTGCACAGTGGCATGCCTTTGGTAGGGTCCAACAAGAGCATCCACTTCACCTAATTCCTCTTCACTCTATGTGTGTGTTTGTTCATAAATGCAACTTAAATGTACCTATGCGTAATGTTATAATTGTTCATTGCATCTCATTTCAGACTACAAAAGAATAATTTCCATGTTTTAGATTGGTATGTACTTTTAAATCTCTTACAACAATACAATATATTTAATCCAACCCTAATTTAAAATATATTAAGATATTCTATACTATTGTCAGTTATGCCATTAACCTTCTATTGGAAGCAGTCTTTTCTTCTTTCTATCTTTTTATAAGTGTAAATGTTACCTGTTAAGAACCAGTACAGTCAAGGTCAGACCCAGTTCTCCAGGCAGAGTCTATACTGTAATTTTACCTGATAAACAGCCCTCAAGGGCTCAGAGATCTGGGAAATAAGGCATTTCCATACTTAATTATGGTTGGCTCCTAACAGCAATACTCTGTATCCCCCAAAGAAGACAGAAGACAAATGACACAGAACAATGACCATTTACAATTAGCTTAAAATGTCAAGTGTTGACCATTGGGGAAAACTGCAATTCATCTAAACTAGAGATCACCAGACATGGACAGAATCAATGGAATTTACAGCCTAGCTGCTCAGGTCAGGATTGGTTTGTCTTCCTACATATTTCTTAGCCCACAGGATCTTCTGGAGCCTGACAGGCCTTGTGCTAAACAGCCAAAGGCTCAAAATTTAAACAGCTCAAAATACAACTTTGAGCGAACATCGAGAACCCTGAGGAGTAGCATAGCATGCCACCAGGTGAGTTCTCTGTTGTTTTTTAATCAGCAACTCAAGTAAAATTTCATTCTTCTCTAAGATCTCTGATGCAATTTGACAGCTGAGTGGTTTTGTCAGTTGAGATGGACAATCTCACCAACAAATATCAGTAAAATACAAATACAAGTTATTAAGGTGTGTACCTGAAAGTTACAAAGGTGTGAGGACAAGTACAAGTCAACAAAATTCTCTCTCACATTGCCTTCCATACTCTTAAAATCACTTTTCATTGTTCAAAAATATCTGTCACAATCATTCTGAAATAAAGATGCTACTCTTTATACAATGTATATGCCTAAAACTTCTGCTTTCACAACCCCCCAAAAAATCTTGTGAGTTCCAAGGAGCTGAATTGAATAATTCACCTTAAACAAGTAAGATAAACCCTCCTCAATTCCCTGGTCCTAAAATTTATTTGCCTAATTTTAACCTTGTCCTCTGTTCTGCCAATACCTTAAACAGGTGTAAGAAACACCAGATATTTCCATATCAAAAAGACCTGACAGGAACAAACAGACCAGTTACACTAGGATGTGACCAGCACTCAGCATTTCAGGTTCCCCCCCAAAAAATGATGTCCAAAAAAAAAAAAAACCCATGATGCAATCTTGAGAATTCACAGCCCCAATTCCTTTAATCTGTGGTGCCTTTTTATTATTAAGAAGAGATGGGAAACTGCTGTCACTCAAGGACCTGCAGCATTTCTACCAAAGTAGCCACTGGGGATCTGCAGCAATTTTAATTACATTAAATTTGGTGTCAAGAGACTCAGAAGGCTCTCCCACCTTGAGTCCCTCTCTTGGGTCAGGATCTAGAATGAGGTTTTTTTCCCCACAATAAACACGTTTTCCATATGCCTGAGTGTGATTTCTACAACATGATTTCTACACACTCCATTGGCTTTAATTGGTGTTTCCCCCATTCTGGTCAGCTTTACCATTTCTTCAAACCTGAGGTACTGACTGGTGAGCTTCTGGAAATTTTCTGGTGTTGCTAGAACCTGGAGGACAGTCCCCAACTATGGAAGGTTGAGCCTTTCACTGTCATTCATCTCTGGATTTCATCCCTTAGCTAAAATCATGACCAGCCTGACCCAGGATCAGCCCTCCTGCACTAGCACAGGACACTCCGTGTGGTGCATTTGACTGGGGGCCCAGGGTTCCTCAGTTTTTCTTCCTATTTTTTTCTTTTTCTTTTTTGTTATTCCCCCTTACTGTGAAAGGCCACTAGAGCAGCCTCTGGCCTCTCTGGCTTCTGATTCACTCTGACAAAATCCAGTCAGGCTGTAGCACCCCAAGTCTGGGTGGAAGAAACTCTCCCATAAGTCCTATGATGTTCATGCTGATTCCCACCCCACATATAATAGAGAGACATCTCACTTTGGCCTTATGGTATTGCTAGTTTTGTGGGTTTTACAGTTTCAGCTATGCATAGCAAGCCATCCATGTCCATCTCCCCTGGGATGGATGCCTTTTAGAGATGCTCAACAAACACACTTCAGGAAATTATAAATACTAGTTATTAAGGTATATACCTGCAAGTTATAAAGGTGTGAGGACAAATACAAGTTATCAAATTTCTATCTCACGCTGCCTTCCATAGTCTTAAAAATACTTTTCATTGTGCAAAAATATCTGTCACGGTCATAAAGATGCTACTGTTTATACAATGCATATGTCTAAAACTTTTATTTTTCCAAACCCACAGAATTCTTGTGAGTTCCAGGGAGCCGAATTTAAGGATCCGCCTTAAACAGGTTTAAGAAGCACCAGACATTTCCATATCAGAAACACTGGACAAAAACAAACAGACTAGCTACACCAGGATGTGACTAGCACCCAGCTTTCTCAGGTCCCCCCCACACAGAAAGATGACACCCATAAATAAACAAGAAGCAGTTTTGAGAATCTGCTGCTTCAATTCCCTTAACCTGTGGTCCCTAACCTCCTGCCCTTTTATTATAAAAAAGAGATGGGAATGTATTGATCTATGCTGTCTCTTTAAGAGACAAGCCATGGCTACTTCCTCCCCCATCCACTGAGGCAGGCAGATTTTCCTTCCAGTTAGTAGTTGAGTCTCTTCCTTTCTGTCTCTCCTCAAAAGAGTCAGATTCTGCCTCTTTCCATTCTCCCCTTCCTCCTTCGGTATCTTTCCCCTCTCTGTCTCTCTCTCTGTCTCTCTCTCTCTCTGTCTCTGTCTCTGTCTCTCTCTCTCTCTCTCTCTCTATCTATCTATCTATCTATCTATCTGCTCTTCTCTCCTTTTCCCTCTTTCCTTCTATAATCCACTAAATGAATAATCTAACCTCACTCTGCATTCATGCTGATCCGTGTCTCTGTCTATCGTCCGTTACTATGTGTCTGCCTGCCTGGGAACAGTCACCTTCAGAGACCTGCAGCATGGTCCCGAGGCATGCCCATTTGTCTGTCTCTCCTCATGACCTGCTGCAGTCACTCAGGGAACTTTGGTGTCCCTGCCTGGGACTGGCTTCTCTTGGGACCTGCTGATCACTGCCTGTTGCCACATGACCTGCTGCCACTGCTTGGGGACCTGTAGCATTTCTGCCACTGCAGACACTCGGGGATTCACAGCATTTTTAATTAATCCACTAGAGTTTGAATCTCACATTCCATTCTTCAATCCAAACAGCTTTTTGTAGCACAATCTAATAGATGTAAGTGTATTATATTTTATATTTTATTTATGCAATTTTAATTGCATGAAAGTTTATGATTATACATTACAAATATAATACATATAATAGAATTTTATAACATATCATAATATTAATTCAGTTCCATTAAAAAGACACATGAATCAACTGACACAAACTTATCAGAAAGATTCAGCAGGAAGATGAACTTGGAAGACCAGAGTCACAATCATAGAAGTCCTGGTATCAATGGAAAGTTTATTATAGATACATAGATTCTAGGCAAAAGCAGTCAGTGACTCACTCAACTGACCCTACACAATTAGCCAGTATTAACAAGAGGTGCTCTACTTTTTCCTCCCCCATGGCAGATCCATTACATTGTAGTTTTATTCTTGAAACCTTAAAGTCACTGAAAATTTCAACCAATAAAGTAAGCAGTCTCTACCCTAAGGATTTTGATAGTCCTGAAATATAGCTTCTCTATGACAAATTATAGCCTTTCCATCACTTTCTTCTTCAGTAGCTGCATGGCATCTCGTTAGCTCAGACTACTCTTTCTCTATATATTTGTTGAATTTTCTGTCTGGCAGTTTTCTGTCCTACCATAGGCCAAAGCATATTTTTAATATGCAATGATAACAAAACATATTCATAGCATACAGAGGGGCATCCCACATCATTTCCACTTTTCTGCCTAAATAAAAAAAAGACTTTCACTTTAACATAGGAAAATTATATATAACAATACAAGGATAAAGTAAGAATTGTTCAATATATTTAATCCTTTTACATATTGCAAATTCAGGAAAATACTTTATTATCCATCCTATCTTTATAAAGCTATTATTTTATATGTAATTTATCTTTTATTGTTACAAAAGAAAAATATAATTATAATCATCTGTTTTCAATACTATCAAAGACCACAGAACAATATTATAACACCTAAACAAAGAGGAATTGCATTGTAAACAACTTCCAAATCTCTAGAACTGATAGAGGCTCTCACTCTCAGGACAGTTAACCAAAGTTCTTCTATAACATTGCGACTTTCATCTACAACCTATATTCCCATGGTATCTGACAGACTTTTCTATGAAACAGGAAATTTGAAACACTGTTTTACTTACATTTGCAGTTTCCACTGACCTTTTTCTGTGTCCTTCAGAATATCCAGAAGACTCGCGAAACAGGAACCCTGAAGTATTCTTTCTCCTTGTTTAACTTTATGTATGATTCACCTGGTACCTTAAAAAGACAGATCACTAACACAGGTAATTGCATTAGATATTCATTTTATTTCATATGAGCATACTCTAGTTCTATTATTTTATTTTCTGTTCATTTTGGTCCCACTATATCTAAGTTAAACTAGGTAGCCTTCCAGAAAATGACTTCCTAAAAATAGAACAAGCAGTAGGAATAAATCCTGTTCCCACTGTTTGTGTCTGCCCAGCCATACAACTGTGACTAACATTTAGAGTGCCTAGTTTGGTATATTGCTGGTTATCTCACTGTCACACCAGAGTAGTTAGGCTCCCATTAGCTCAGGTACGCTGTTTCAGTGGGTACTCCCATTACAGCCTTGATCTCTTTGCATATATTCTCACTCTTCCCATTCTTCACCTGGACTTCGATAGCTAAGCCCTGTGATTGACTGTGGATTTCTGCATCTGCCTCTGTCAGTTGCTGGATGTCAGTTCTATGATAACATTTAAGATAGACATCAGTATGACAACAAGGCAAGGTCTGTTCAAGCACCCAGTCCACTATTGCTTAGGATCTTCACTGTGTTCATCCTTGTGGTTTCCTGGGAATTTCTCCTATTGCATGTTTTTATGGGTCCCATAATGGCTCCCTCAATCCATGTAACTTTTTCCTTGCTCTCTATCTCTGTGCATTCCTCATCTCAACAATCCTGTTCTTTCAAGTTCTCCTCCTTTCTACTTCTCACAGAACCTTCTTACCTTCTGACTTTCCTTCTTCCTTCACCCATACTTTTCCAATGATTTCAGGAGATCTCTATTTTCTCTTCCTAGAAGGATTTATGTGTGTTTACTTTAATGTTCTCTTTGTTACTTAGATTCTCTGGGGTCATGGGCTATAGGTTTCCAATTTTTGTTTTATAGCTGTTGCTCACCTATGACTGGGTACATACCATCCTCATCACTCTGGATCTGGTTACCTCACTCTGGATGTTTTTTTCTTGTTTCATCCATTTGTTTGCACATTTCAAGATGTTATTTATTTATCTATTACAGTGAGTAGTACTCCTTTGTGTAAATTACCATGTTTTCTTTATCCATTCTTTGGTTGATGAGCATCTAGGTTGTTTCCAGGATCCTGCAATTACAAAGAATTTTGCAATGAACATAGTTGACCAAATTCCCTTGTAGCATGATTGAACAAACATTGTATATAACTTTAATAGTGGTAATGATTGGTCTTACAGTTGATTGATTTCAAATTTTCTGAGAAACTGCCATGCTGAATTTCAGAGTTTTGTGCAAGTTTTAAACCCATGTTCATTCTGTATCTGAGATGAAATATACAGGAGTTTTCTCCATGTTGGTGTTATTATATTATATGCATGAAAACAATAATGGAAAAACTCAGACATTTGCCCATTCCTTGACATTATCATCTACTATTAAGAAAATGTAATTTAACATTGGTGTTTACAGAGGGATATATCATATTTGGTGATTAAGAAGAATGAGATGATCTTTAGAGTGGTGAACAGTGTAGACTGTGAGTTATAGTCATTTTCTTATTGTAGGAGGAGGGTCCACTTGTTCATCTTTGCCACCCAGACCCAAATAATCACAAAGAAACCATATTATTTAAAACACTGTTTGGCCCATTAGCTCTAACTTTTATTGGATAATTCTTACATCTTAATTTAACCCATTTCTATTAATCTGTGTATCACCATGGGGCAGTAGCTTGCTTGGTAAAATTCTCAGCATCTGTCTCTGGTGGATCCATGGCATCTCTCTGACTCTTTCCTTCTCTCTGCATGCCATTTAGTTTTCCATGCCTACATAAATTCTTCCCTATGAACAGGCCCAAAGCAGTTTCTCTATTAATCAATGAAAACAACACAAAGACAGAAGGGCCTCCTGCATCATTTCCCCTTTTCTGTTTAAACAAAAATGAAGGCTTTAAATTTAACAAAAGTAAAATTACTTATAACAAAACAGTTATCAAGCAAGAATTGCAGTTACAATATGTATATCTACTTTATCTTTTATCATAGCTAAGGAAAACCATAACTATAAATTCTTCAACTCCATCAAAGACTCCAGAAGGATATAATATTACCTAAGTTAACAAGAAGTAGATTATAAGCAACTTCCAAAACTCTAGAATTGACAGAGACATATTGTTGCCTGGACAGTGACCCAAAGTTCTTCTGTACCCTTGGGGTAACAATCTTCTGCCTACAGGCCCATAGTATCCAGCTGATTTTTCCATGTGGCAGGAAATTTCAAAGATATACCTGTCTATATTGGAAGTGTGCTAGTCATTTTCTTCTGTGTCCTACAGAATGTCTTGCAGATTCTTTCATGAAGCAGGAAACACAAAGGATCATCTCACTAATAGGCAAGTTCATCAGTCATTTCTCTGCAGGTCCTGCATGTCCAGTGAAGCAGTCAAGGCAAGAGCAGTTTCTTCCCAAATGGTTAACCAACTCCATCAGGACCTTCTTCAATGTCCATCTTCCTCTTGAAGTAAAGGGCACAACTGGTAGAAGGAGGGCCCACTTGTTCATCCTGGCAGCCCAGCCCCAATATAATCACAAAGAAACCATATTATTTAAAATACTGCTGGCTCCTGGCCTGCCCACAACTTCATACTACATACTGCTTGTCCCATTAGCTCTAAATTCTTATAGGCTAATTCTTACATCTTAATTTAACCCATTTCTATTAATCTGTTTATCGCCACATGGCAGTGGCTTACTGGGTAAAATTCAAAGCATCTTCTTATTTTTTTTTTTGCTTTTATGGTTACAAAACACAAAGAGGAGGGAGACACAGATGAATCATCAGTTCTTGATGAGATCATCAAATTAAATGCAGTCCTGTGCTTTCCGGTCCTTGGTTTAAGATCTCTCTTCTTATTGGTTCCTAGATGGAATAAAAATGTCTGCACTGAGGGATTTTACCGGTCAGACTCCTGACTAAGGTACAGCTAAACTTTAGTCAGGAGTCTGATGGGAAAAAAAAAACACAAAGGAAAAAAGTGTGTCCCAGAGACCTACAGGAGACAGAAGCTACAGAAATCTAAGAAAAGCAAGGATTTTGTGTAATTTTCCACGCTCCTGCTAAGAGTCACCTGTTACTGTTTGCAGTCCAGTAAATATGATCAAATCTCTGAAGTCACTGCTTCAGACTTAATATCTTTGATTCTTAGTTAGTTTTGGTTAGTTTTGGATTTTGCATTTTTCTCTAATGAAGATTTACCTTGGGAGTTAATACATGACACCATCTGGGGATGCACTGATCTTATGCACCATTGGATGCCACAGTAAGATAATTGCTATGTCAGCTAATAGCCTCAGGAACCTGGGAATCTGGAAATTTAAAATGTCTAATTTCCCAAACAGTGTGTATAGGGATTCTGATATGGCATTTCTGATTGTGATAACAGTAAGTTGCAATCATCAACCAGAATTGCTATTAGCCATCATCAAGCAGAAATGGAAAATTTTAGATAGATAGTCAGGATAAAATCCCAAGACTTGTGATGTATGATCCTTTCCTAGTTACCTGCAATGTTTTCCTCTTTCAATAATTGCATTCTGATCCCAGGTAAATCACATCTTTTTCTGCCATCCACTTTCACTTTCATTTTTTTTTTCTGTCGGACCACACACAGTTAAATGGGAGGGAGAAATGACGCCACAGCTCTGATGGAGATCTCCAAGGTTACCACAAGATTTGTTCCGATTGGTGGATTTGAGATCATTCTCTTCATTGTTCCGGGAACAATTTGAATGCACACACTCCTTCAGTCAAGGCAAAGAAAGCTAATTTCACTTTCAGCATAGCGGGTCTTTCCTAGTCAGTCTTTGGTTATATTCCAGGCCCCAGCTCCTCATGTTTATAACTGAAGCTGGAATTTACAGTGGTCCAGACAAGGCAGAGTGCTCTTGACTTCTACATGAGACTAAACCCAGGAAAATTAACAAAATGGGGTAATGGTTTATTCCTATTATTACAGTTCTGATTCACCTTTATGGTCTCCTGTGACACAAATTGATTTCTGCCTCTGAAACCTCTGCTTCTCTTTAAACTTAAGGCACCACTGTCTCAGTCTTGAAACACTGCAGTATCTACAAGGAAATAATATACTTCAGGTTTTAGCATCTGACAGAGTCAAGGGGTGTCATGCACTTTCCTCTGTTCTCTGAGTTCCATTGTGTCAATGAGTATGACATTGTAAGTTGTTTTCTTTCATGAAAACTTTGAGTCATTGAAAATATGCAGTAACATATTGAGGCAAAACCCTACCTGTCACCAAAGACTCTCGAGGCACAATAAGGTATAAAAAGGAAAGATACTTCTTATCCTCCTATTGCCTTTTAGGTTCTCATAGGCACAATTTTACTGTCTTCACTGCCAAAGTCTTTTTTCTTTTGCATATAAAAGCTCCTGTAAATGATTCTCAAAAGTATGCCCATTCCTGACTAGGAAATCAGATTGCATGAGCCTTTTTTGGAAATTAAATATTTATCGATAATGACAGTAAAGTATTATGCACTACCTTTAAAAATAATTAACACACCATATTTATTTGATAATCTATGTTTTGTTTTTGTATGCTATGAGCAGGCTATAAATTCCTCTGTCTGCTAGTAATTTGTGACTGGGAAACATTGGTACATTGCAATCAACACCCTCCGTTTGAGACCTTTGCAATATTTCTGCCATCTTTTCAATATAAATCTAGGATGCTTTCAAGTAGGTTTTAAAGTCATGAAATATCATAATATAGTACCACACAGCCTCTTATTTTCTATAGAAAGCCCTTCTCTGCTCATCATTATGTTAGTTTCCAGCTAGTACCTAAGAACATCTCTGATGTGGTCAAGTTATGCTCAGATATACAAGCATGTCAATATTTCAATAGACTCTGTTAAATGAGGTGATAAAAAGGGAAAGATAGATTTTTCAGGTATATTAGCTTTGAAGTAATGCCCATGTGTTAATAGAATGTTCCATATAAACACACAAACACACACACACACACACACACACACACACACACACACACACAAGCTTTCTCTGAAGATAGATGTCACTGAATAGAGAGAACAGATATATGACCTAAGGATGGAGTATTGATATTGTTGATTAAAGAGAAAGTCTTGTGAATGCAAGCCAATGAATTTTATCAAAATTTTAAAATTCATGTAATAATACTGAAAAACATTTCATAAGTGTTATTTGAGACTATGAGTCCAAAATCAATGTCAAAAACATGTACACATATGTGAAACACTAATAAAAGCATACATACAAATGTGAAATTGCTGAAATTATATGTATATTGTGATTTATTTTCTAAATGAAAACATAAATTTTTAAATTATCATGACATTGTTATATACCATATACAATTTCAGCATGATTAGAACAGTGTTTGAATATAACATTCCTACTTAGAAAATGTGTGTCTAATTTCATAATTTTTAATGTAAATATATATATATATATACTCTATAATTCATGTATTTATTTATTACATTTATGGAATATGACATGACTTCCTAGAAAATGCCAGCGACAAGCTTCAATGAGCAGACCAGAATCACACACAGAAATCTGCATCCAGAAATGAAGGCTTTCATGTCAATAGCCAAGATGTAGACACAAAGTGTAAATAAATCATCACTCATAGTCATAATGGAATATGTTTTTCTCTGTCTCTAAGTTGACCAGTTATTAGGAGTAAATATAAATTTTATTCTGTTGTCCTGAAGATGGACAATTTAGCTGCTAGTGCTAGAAAATACATTTAAATTGGAGGGAGAAATGAATCAGCAGCTATGTTTGAGCTCGTTAAGATTACCAGAGGATTTGCATCCATTGTTAAACTGAGATCACTCTCCTTGTTGGTTCTTATTTTTTGCTCAATTTGAATGCATACACTTTTTCAGTCAGAGGACAGGATTTCTTATAAAAGTATCAGCAGTACTGGTTCTTACTGGTCAGGTTCTATCTATATTCCCGGTCTCAGGTGGAACTGGGCATAACCAAAGCCTCAGTGTAAATTGGTTTAGACAAGGCAGACTTCTGCTGACATGTATAGGTGTGAGAATCTATGAAAATTAGAAAAATCAGGACTTACATTTACAATAACTATTCCAACTGTGTTTGGCAATATTGGAGAATATATTATATTTTCCACCCTATGTTGTTGCTTACAAAGTTGTGAACCATAATCACATTCTAAAATTCTTGTACTTCCAAATGAAAATTTTCTTTTCAGTCCTTAAATTATTTTTCAGTGAAACATGGTAGCATTTTATATATCTAAAATTTTAAATGTTACATCTCTTTCATATTTTTTTTTAAATTTGGTAGCAAGAAAAACTGTAAAACTATAACTATATAGTCTTCAATCCTTTCAAGAACAGAGCAAAAGAACATATTACATGAGTGAACAGAAAGAGCAAAACAAACAATTTAAAACTTTGGAACTCAAAGTTATTTTGATTTACATTTCCCTGATCACTAAGGAGGTTGAACATGACCTTAAGTGTCTTTTAGCCATTTTAACTTCTTCTGTAGAGAACTCTCTGTTCAGTTCAGTACCCCATTTTTAATTGGGTTAATTAGAGTTTTAATATCTAGTTTCTTGAGTCCTTTATATATTTTGGAGATCAGACTTTGCCTGATGTGGGGTTGGTGAAGATCTCCCAATCAGTAGGTTGCCTTTTTGTCTTAATGACAGTGTCCTTTGCTTTACAGAAGATTCTCAGTTTCAGGAGGTCCCATTTATTCATTGTTGCTCTTATTGTCTATGCTACTGATGTTGTACATAGGAAATGGTCTCCTGTGCCCATGTGTTATAGACTACTTTCCACTTTCTCTTCTATCAGGTTCAGTGTGATCAGATTAATATTGAGGTCTTTAATCTATTTGGACTTGAGTTTTGTGCTTGGTGATAGATATAGATCTACTTTCATTCTTCTATAGGTTGACATCCAGTTGTGCCAGCACCATTTGTTAAAGATGCTTTATTTCTTCCATAGAATACTTTTAGCTCCTTTGTAAAAAATCAGGTGTTCATAGGTTTGTGGATTAATATCTGGGTCTTCAATTCAATTCCATTGATTAACATCTCTGTTTTAGTGCCAATACCAAGCTGTTTTCTTTACTGTAGGTCTGTAATAGAGTTTGAAGTCTAAGATGGTAATGTCTCTGGAAGTACTTTTATTGTATAGGATTGTTTTGGATATCCTGGGTTTTTTTGTTTTTCCATATAAAGTTGATTATTGTTCTCTCAAGGTTTGTGAAGAAGTTTGTTGGAATTTTGATGGGGATTGCATTGAATCTATAGATTGCTTTTGGTAGAATTGCCATTTTTACTATGTTGATCCTTCCCATCCAAGAGCATGGGAGATCCTTCCATTTTCTGGTATCCTCTTCAATTTCTTTCTTCAAAGACTTAAAGTTCTTGTCAAATAGATCTTTCACTTCCTTGGTTAGAGTGACCCCAAGATTCTTTATGCTATTTATGACTATCGTGAAAGATAATATTTCTCTGATTTCCATCTCTGCTTCTTTTAGAGACAGAGACCTACATTGGAGCACTGGACTGAGCTCCCAAGGTACAAATGAGGAGCAGAAGGAGCGAGAACGTGAGCAAGGAAGTCAGGACTGCGAGGATGTGTCCACCCACTGAGAAGGTGGGAATGATTTAATGGAAGCTCACTAAGGCCAGCTGGACTGGGACTGATGAAGCATGTGATCAAACCAGACTCTCTGAATGTGTCTTATAATGAGGGCTGACTGAGAAGCCAAGGACAATGGCACTGGGTTTTGATTCTACTGCATGGAATGGCTTTGTGGGAGCCTCGTCTGTTTGGATGCTCACCATTCTAGAAATGCACATTTAGAAAATCTAACTAACAAATTTGACTATTATAGAGGTTATCTATTAACCTATATTTCTTAATCATACATTACATTTTTAAAATGAGCTATACAATCACAATACCTTAATCAAGATTTGAAATACATATACATATAACAAAATTGACCTTAAATTTGTATCAATAGAGAAAAATCCATACTAATGCTAATTATTCATCTCTATATCATATCCCCCTTTAAATGTAAACAATCTGTTATAAACAATATTTGGGAATATGGGCATAGTTATTTCTCTCCAAACTGCTTCGTGCTGTATGGGGCACTGTTAATCAGGTTTTTCATGGTGTATCCTATGTGCTAGGTTCATCTCAGTCACTAGTTGGGTGAAGTAACTTTTTGAGGGTGTTCACGATGACCTTTCAGGAAGCCTTTGTCCATGAAACCATATTTGTTTGTAGATAATCCATAAATTCTCATCTTCTGAAAAAACAAAAGAACCTCTTTCCCAAAGCAACTTATCCTTAGGCTAAAATTTGGAAATCATGATACATTTATAAAATACATGTCTCTCTGAACTCAGCTCCTTCACAGTCAAAAAATTCAAACAAAACACAATAATATACAGAATCCAGACTCTCTGAATTTTTCATTTTTGTGGCTTATTTTTTTCACTTCTTTTAATTTATGACTATCTGTACTCTGTCTCTTTAAAGACTATATCTTTTTTAAGCATAAACTTTATTTTATGACTCTCTATACTCTTTATCTTTTCTCTCCCAAGCCTACACCCATTTAGAAGTTTTTTAAGTCTGAATCTGTCATATTGTTAATCTGTAATTCTTTACTATCTAGAAGAGATTTTAAAATGCTAAGCAGCTTGATTGGAGCTACTCTGAATGTTGGCTCTACCTCTCTCCAATTTTAAAATGATAAAAGCACCACCAGTGTGAGCTCTAAGTCCACCAGGCAAGAGTCAAGCTCAGCAGTCCAACCATGAGAATACACATAAACCCTTTTTTATCTGATTTACAGTCAAATCTGCCACGCAGAACACTGCACAGCCTGGAAACATCTCTCTTTATAGCAGTAGTAATCCGTCATGCTCTCCTGCTTGTCCAAACCTAGTAGACCTGATCCCACTGCCTGCCTAAGCAGAAAGAGCTGAGCCACAGGCATGGTCTCAGCTACTTTCCTCCAAATCCTCAGTGGGCACACAAACACTCGGGGCCCACACATGCTTCATAGCCAGATTTGCACTGGCGGCAGGGCCCAGGAAGCCTGTTTAAAGATGGCACAACTTTTATTCTGCTGCTATTGCTGAATCAGGAAAATCTCTCTGTGGCACACCCCAGCAAACAGCAAAAACTCTGTTGTTTCTGTGTGTCTAGTATTAAGCTCTCCCAGGTTTTTAAGTGAATTTCGTCCATCACATAGGCAGCAAACTGGTGTAACTGAGTTATTAGAAAGCAGTAGTTGTTAGATATGAGTGGAGCCTCAGTCATTGCAGGAAAATTATTCAAGAAACACGTTTGTCCTGGTATTATTATGGTAGGATTTAAAGATGACTACGAAATTTATAGAAGTAATCCATCATAAATCAATCTATGGGAAGGCAATTTTATGATTTGTGTGGGCAAATAGCAATTGCAACTTTTTCCTATGATAACCATTTTGACATGTGTCGAAGTCTAGAGCATCTGGGGTCCCTGGGAAAGAGTGTCGAACAAACCAGGACACAGGGGATGCAGGGCAGGAAAAACAGCATTTGCAAACTGCATGCTGTGTGTTTATTAAGTAATCCTTTTATACGCTTTGGAAACAATTGCTTTAGTCAACAGTTTAAAGAGGAACTATGTTGCCGGGCGGTGGTGGCGCACGCCTTTAATCCCAGCACTCGGGAGGCAGAGGCGGGCGGATCTTTGTGAGTTCGAGGCTAGCCTGGTCTACAAGAGCTAGTTCCAGGACAGGCACCAAAGCTACAGAGAAACCCTGTCTCGAAAAACCAAAAAAAAAAAAAAAAAAAGAACAAAGAGGAACTATGTTGCGTCTGCCTTATCAGCAATGAAGATGCAACACCAGACTCTTCTTAACTGCGATTTATTCAGGCCCTCAAAATAATCTTCTCATCCATTTGCTATCTCTCGCAACCTTTCACCCAGGGGAAAAGCCAGTCTGCAGTTTAAATAACCTCTGGGTGGCCAACCCCAGCAAGCCACGTGGGAGATGCAGAAGGGAGGTCCAGAAATGTGGAAGCAAGCCAGATCTTAGCATTAGCCATAAATGGAGTTGTTACACATCTGAAAGCATTCACCATTGGAAAGGTGGAAGGTGGGAATCAGTGCCACCTGTAAGGCGTGGCATCACGTGGCTCTTTAGAGTTCCCTCTTTTTGTTTTAGATGCAACAGGCAAGAGTAGAGGCCTGATCTCTGAATACAGAATGACATTGGGACCTTGTACTGATCCTCATTCTGGTGTCCTCAACCCGAAGAGTATCAGACCAGTCCGATATCTTTTTTCAGAGGTGGGATCTAGGGTATCAACCCACATGCAATTAGGCATGCTCTTCTCTGGGCCCAAAGTGACTGACCCTGAGTGCAGTGCTTAGCCTCGCATCCTGAACGTAACAATTCTATGATTGTCAATCATGTATGGGGGACTGTTCTGCTTCAGTGGCTGTAAAGTCTTTAATAATTATGGCTGCTCTGCGCTACTGAAAAAACCTGATCTTGCATATACACCACAGGCAAGCCATGGAGACCAACACCAAGAGGCCTGCTAACATTCCCAAGCCTGCCCACTCTTTTAGATGTTTTATGGCAGTGGAGATCCAGGATGAGAGTCCTTCAGCTATGCCAGCATCCACTCTGGTAGAATTCATGGTGACGATGACCACCCTTAGCTGTTCCATCACGGCATCAAATTCTCCTATCCAATTACCTAAAAGATAACTAGACAACTGCTTAGACAAATTTACAGCATGGTTTGGTAATAATCAGTCACTGCATCTGAGATCGTAGGGGTGTAATCCTCCAGCTGCATCAAGAAGTCTACCAGAGGCATGCTGGAAGCTACGAGCTTTACTTTTTGTTGGCCACACTCAGCAGGGCGTTAACCCCATTACACATTGCCCCTTCAGGGGAAGCCGCGCAGCCCACTGCCACCGAGGCCGGCCCGTGCTCCGCAGCAGGCGTGGTTATGGAGCTCGTGCCCATAGTGGCAGCTCCAGCCCCGGGCCCCCCTGCCGTCCCCACGGGGCTAGCCTTGCTCTCTGCGGCTGTGCTGGTGGGAAGTGTGGCACACAGGCCGGCGCCGCCTCAGAGCTGCTGCAGCTCATGGGGCTGACGGGAGAGGCAGCGAACAGGGTGGCTTCCTCGTTAGCAAACTCTATCAAGAGGGCTCTCCAGTTTAAATACTGTCCTGGGCAAGTCATTCCAATCACCAGTAGTCACGCAGTATCTATTCAAGGCTTTCACCTGTGCCACAGTAGAAGAGGCTATAAATTCTCACAGATTTAGCCAAGGACTTAGTCACCTTAATATTCAGGGGCTCGTTGTACCTATATAAGGGTTTTAAGCAGTTCTTAAAAACTTAAGTTGCATCATGTAGAGGTAATATGGTCCTGCCTGTTTACTACCAGTTTAAACCTTAATTGCGCTTTTGTTATGAAAATTACGATCAGTCCTGCCTCAGGTCTGCACAGTTCAACTTAGCCCAGTGGAGCCAGAGCCACTTCAGCCTCAGAGCCCCTCACAGCTCCAGGCACACTGCAGGTCTTTCTGTTTGACAGCTTGTGGCACCGCTCCCATTCTCGGCACTGCTGTGGCATCTGCCAGGCTAGGCACCGACTGGGCTGGGACAATGTGCCTTTCACCACAGCCACCAAGCAAAGCTCTGCTCCAGCCGCCTTCTAGCTCCAGCTGCATTCGTTTTTGGTTGAAACTGGTGCACGGAGTGAAGCAGAACTCAGGGAAGCAGGCTTGCTGTCCTGCAACCATTGAAAGGACCCCACTTAAACAATCTTTTAGGGAATTTGGGCATTGTCAGTCTGTCTCACTACTTCCTGCTGAGTAGGGACATTGCATTTTTAGGGATATTTACTACAACATTTCAGGAGGTCTCGGTGATTCAAACCACATGAATCTCAAATAAATCCTTAGGCTCTCATTTTCTGTGGAGACGAAAACAGAACCTCTTTTCCAAAACATCAAGTCCTTAGGCCCATATTTTAAATTCAAAAAAAAAAATACCTTTCTTAGCAGTTCCTAAGTTCAAATATCTTTCTCCTGTCCAGTACACAAAACACAACACAAACAACATAACATACATCTGTACACATTTACATTAACCCTGCTCTTGTCGCAGTCACATTAACCCCACTCCTTTGGTCATTAACCCTGCTCTTGACATGGACTTCCCCTTTAACTGGCAATTTACTAGAATTCCCTGCCCGCAGCAAGTTCTGAGTCCAGACGAGAGGTTGTGTCCCCTTAACATTCCTTTCCCCGTAGCATCCCCGGGTTTCGGCACCAAATGTTGCGTCTGCCTTATCAGTAATGAAGACGCAACACCGGACTCTTCTTAACTGCGGTTTATTCAGGCCCTTAAAATAATCTTCTCATCCTTTCGCTACCTCTCGCAACCTCTCGCCCTGGGGAAAAGCCAGTCTGCAGCTTAAATAACCTCTGGGTAGCCAACCCCAGCAAGCCACGTGGGAGACACAGATAGGTCCAG